TATGTGGGGTGAGGCGGGGACCAAGAAGTTGAGTGAACGAATGTGGTAGCAACTGATAAGAACTGATAAGGGCGTCAAAGTGTGGATACCACCAGTTTCGTTGCGGCCCTTGCGGTTACATTGGAACCTTGGCTCTCACATGTGGTATAGGGGATGGGACGGGAACACGGATAGCGGATGATCAGAAGTGATAACAAGCGATAACGTTGATAAGGAAGTTAGGATTTTGAGTACTGCTAATTTCGTTGCAGCCTTCGTTGTGACAGTAAATATTAGCTCCTACACGTTGCCTGGAGGTTGGGACCGGGACACCGATTGCGAACAGTATGAACTGATAACAAATGACAAGGAATGATAAGAGCGTTTGAATGCAGGTCTCTCAACTTCGTTGCAATTTTCACTGGCAAGCGATCAAGGTGGCGAGGGTTAAATGTAGGTGACAGAAAGTGGTATGAGCGGCAACTGTACTGATAAAAGTGCGACAGTTAAGCGTGCCTTCAGTTTAGCTGAAACCAGGTTCCTAGCACGTGAATGTGTTCCTTCTTCTTCTTCTCCTCCCTAGCGTTAGTCCCGCGCAGTCGCAGGGTCCGCTGTCTTTGTCAGTCGTCGCCACTTTAGTCTGTCCAGGGCGTCCTCTGCTGTGGCCATGACTTCACTTAGATCCTTCTTGATCACGTCTCTCCACCTCTTCTTTGGGGCTCCTCGCGGTCGCTTGCCTTGCACTTCGAAGTCCATCGCTGTTCTTATCGGATGATCCTGTGGCCTCCTTAGCACATGCCCATACCATCGCAGACGCTGTTCCCGTACCTTCAGCTGGACAGGGGCAGTCTGCATGACCGCTCTGACATCCTCGTTTCTAACCCTGTCCAGCCGCGTCCAGCCGCAGGCCCACCTCAGCATCCTCATCTCAGCGGAGTGAAGCTGCCTTTCGTGGTTCTTGTTCAGGGGCCAGCACTCGCTGCCGTATAGCATCGCAGGCCTGACTACTGTTCGGTACACCTTCCCTTTGAGCGTTCTGGAGCATCTTTCGATCACAGAGGATTCCAGTGGACTCCCTCCATTTCATCCATGCTGTGTTGACCCGAGCCTTCACCGCCTGATCCACACTGCCATCAGCTGCCAGATCGCTCCCAAGGTAGCGGAAGTCCTCCACTCTTTCGATGGTCTCACCATGGCCGTCTACGATCGGCTCTGCACCCTCTTCGGAGCTCAGGAACTTGGTCTTCTTGACATTCAGCCGTAGCCCGCCTTCTGCCAGGACCTTCTGCCATTGCTGCACCTTGGCCTGTAGTTCTCTCTACTATCCGCTATCAGGGCGATGTCGTCAGCGTAGAGGATGGTCTTCAGTGGTCCTTCCATGAGGCCCTTCACCATGGTATCGAGCGTTAGGAGGAACAGGAAGGGGCTCAGAGCTGACCCTTGATGCACCCCAACCGTGATGTTTACTCCTTCGTTAGGCCGTGAGGGGTGCGTATGGCTGCTTTGGCTCCTTCGTACATGTCCTTCACCAGAGAGATCAGGTGTTCTGGCACGTTTCGTTCCCTGAGCGACCTCCATAGCACTGCTCGCGGTAGCCGGTCGAACGCCTTCTCCAGGTCGAGGAAGGCTAGGTAGCAGGGTCGGCGCTTTTCTCGATACTTCTCCATCACTTGCCTTGCGATGAAGATGGCATCCGTTGTAGACTTTCGGGCATGAACCCGAACTGTTCCTGGGAGATCGGGACCAGCTCCCGCAGCTTCTTATCGACCAGCGCTCGTACAACTTCATGGTATGCGCAGTCAACTTGATCCGCGGTAGTTGGAGCAGTCCATCGCGTCGCCCTTCTGTTTGAAGATGGGGACGATGGTACTTGTCCTCCATGCATCCGGCATCTTTCCTTCCACTGTTACCTTGTTCAGGAAGCTGGTGAGCCACCTTATGCCGTACTCTCCGAGCGCCTTCCATGCCTCGATTGGCACCCCATCTGGGCCAACCGCCTTTCCAACCTTCATCCTCCCAAGTGCACACCTAACCTCATCCTTAGTCCAGAGTGCGATGGGACCAGCTGTGGCCTCTGCCCGTGAGTCGTTCTTGTGGGGGAACTCCTCGTTCAGAAGCCCCGTGAAGTACTCTTCCCACCTCCTCTTGACTTCGGCTGGCTTTCCTTAGGATGACACCATCGCTGCCTTTTACACTTTTCACCACCCTGATGTCTTGGGTAGCACGATGCCGGGCCTTAGCCAGCCTGAAGACGAACTTCTCTGCGTTTCTGCTTTCCAACTTCTCGTACAAGGCGTCCATTTCCGTGTTCTTCGCCTTGGCGACAGCAGCCTTAGCGAGCCTCTTGCAACTCCTGTAGGTGGCGAGGTCTTCGGGGCTCCGGGTCTTCTGCCAGCGCTTGTATGCTTCCTTCTTCTGCTTCACGACTCGCTGGACCTCCTCGTTCCAGAACCACGCTGCCTTGTCTCCTCTGAATCCACCTCGCGTCTCACCCAGGACCTCCTTGGCACATCGCAGGATGGTATCAGCCGCGCTGCCCCAAGTCCGCTGTATTGGCCCGTTAGGATCTGGGAGACCGACTTCCATTATCTTTCGCCTGAGGTCATCCTTCTCCGCTTGGTGCAGCTTCCACCACCGGATTCTCCTCTCGGTTCTTACCCTTGTCTTCTTGGGGAGGTCTATCGCAATGTCTGCCAGGAGGGGCCTGTGCTGGGGAGCCAGATCTTCGCCGGGTAGAACTTTGATATCCTTCACAGTTTTGAGGGTTGATCTTCTTACCAGCACATGGTCGATTTCCGTCTGTCTCCCTCCACTGCTGTAGGTTACCTTTTGAGTCTCCCTTTTCGCGAAGAACGTGCTGCAGACTGCCAGATCGTGGGCTGTAGCCAGGTCCAGAACCCTCTCTCCCTCAGCGTTCCTCGTTCCTATCCCTCTACCTCCGTGCACCCTTTCTAAGGCCTCTTCTGTCACTGCCGACGTGACCATTCAGGTCACCTGCTATGGTCAGGTAATCACCTTCCGGAACCGATCTTATGGCTTCGTCCAGGCTCAGATAGAACTCGTCCTTATCACTTTCGGGGCACCCGGCTTGCGGTGCGTACACGGAGAGTATGGTCCAGTACCCTCCTTCGTGTCTATCCTCACAGCCATGATCCGATCGCTGATCCTGTTCACTGCGCGGAGACATAGTCCTTGAGCGACTCCGCTACCGCTATGGCCACGCCGTTCCGCTTGGTGTCTTCTCCATTGTAGTAGAGCTTGACACCTTCCCCGATTTCTCCTGGCCTTAGCACCTTTCCATCGCGTCTCCTGAAGGCATAGGACTTGGATATTCCTGCGCGTCATCAGATCAGCAACCTCTCGGGACTTCCCAGTTAGCGATCCTACGTTCAGAGTCCCAATTCGAACTAGCTTCTTTGGCCGAGGCCGTTCACTCCTCGGTAGCCCTCGCATACTGACCACAGAACTCGGGCGGGGGTTCTGCGCGCCACTTCCGGGTGACGTCCTAGCTTTATCACTGATTCTTTTTCGACTTTAGACATATTTGTGTGACGGGGGTCTTCATCAGCCGGCCTGTCAACCTGGGCCTGACGCTGGTACTAGAACCATTTTTGCAATTTTTGCAAGGCATGGTTTAGAGCCTCGGCAGGGATCGAACTCGCGGTTTTTCAGAGGTGCAGACATGAGTCTAACCTCTTAACCACTCGGCTATCCCTGCCTCAATGGTTCCATTCTAAATTTCATCGAAGAAGTAAAGAAAGTTGAGCTGCTCAACTATCTCGACTTGGACCAATAGCGAATTTCCACTTATATTTCCAATTTCCATCACAGCTCGGTTAGATGCTGATTGATTGGTTATATTTCACTTACACACCGATTCTTCAATTGTGGAAATTCTATAAACCGCTAAATCATCCCGAGCTCGATATCAATGCTAAATGTTTACGAAGTCATGATAAGTGCAATTTTCATTCCGCATGCTACTGCGCGCATTACGCTACAATCTTTAGCAAAATTGGACAGCCTTTGAAATTCATGTGACACATCTTCCAAACATCTTACTGTTAGTTTCTCAGCCACGTGACCTAATATTCAGCAAGTTGTCCAGTTTCACTAAGCCTACCATGTGATGCGCGCGGTTGCGTGCGGAGCTAAACTGGTATATATAATAATCTCTAGCTTTAAATGGAATTTGGCCAGTTACATATGGACGACAGGCAAGTCTCAGCGTCTACTCTACCCAGCTGCGCATTGCTTTCGATGTAGAGCTTCTATTATCCTGAGAAGCTTTTTATACCCTCAGTTAATCGATACCAGTCAAAATATAATAGTTCCAACATTAACTAAAATGTATATGAACAAAGGATACTGATCGTATGGGCTTTCAACTCTTTTTGGAAATATTTTTCCCTGAAAGGTTATCAACGGGATGGTTTGCTTTCCATTGTTTCTAATGTCGATATGATAACTTCGTAGTGTTTGTTGAAAACACTAACAAACTGTCAGAGCTGAGCATGCTATTGGAAACAACGCTCGAGATGCGTCAGGGTACCCAAGAAATAACCGAGCGATATAAATGCTGTATGTCACGAAATCCACGCCACAAATCACAAGAGCTGTGCTATGCTATGTTTCATCACAGCGAAAGCTTGGGTGACCAGGGTGAAAAACCTCAATAAAGCCGTCGAGGATTCTTCTAACCGTTAAAATATCACGGATTCTTTCGATAAATGATAGTGTTCTTGTTCTTAGAATTTGTTTGTGGGAGCAGAACTGATAGGTACGGGAACAATGGCATATGGCATTTGGCATTTCAATGGCATTTGGCAAAGGAGAGAAGTGTCGAAAATTTCACGTATTCGGCTTTGCTAACGTCATATAGCCGCGTACACGCATGAGGTGCCCATAGGTTCAATGAATCAAAACTATCAGCTGAACTATTGTTTTCGTTTGATCTAAGTTCTGTATTTTGTCAGCAAACACTATCCTTCAGGTATAATATCGCTTATGGACCACGTCTAATGTATATTCTCTTTGTTCTCAAACGGTGGTTGGGTGCTGTAAGTTTCACTACAAAATATTTGATTGTTGTTCATTGGAAACCGAGTGCCTTCAGGAGCTTTTTCTGTTTTGTCGATTGACCATGGAGCATGTAGCTTTACTTGTCATCCAATTCGGCTTGGGAATTTCAAAACTGCCGTCTGACATACGGGACTCTTGTAAAATTCGATTGTTTCCTCAAAAGGTGAGAAGGAACAGTCATACGTTTAGTGTTTCAGTACTGGACAAAAAATATTTCCAATCGTGAAATGTACGAACACGAGTAGGATTCCTCTTACGTAACCATTCAAGCTCTGTTGAGTTTTGCAGCTTATGTATGAAGAGACACCGGAAGTAATTGACCACAATGTAAATGGGATCGGCCTAGCGCTGATATGCTTCTTACGATACCTTGCCAGTCAGCAGTTTTCCATGTCATCATCGCTCGATTTAAGTCTGAATGATGGGCGCCCAATTCCTTACCCCATTCTGATGCGTCAGTCTGTGTGGGAGCCATTACATCAGGTGCTTGAGCAGTTCGCTCTGTTTTTCTTTTCTGATAACACTCTTCAGAAAAACAATTTCGATTACTTATAGCTGAAGATCGAAGGGTTCATCTAAAGTTTTCTTCTGATCTGATCAAGTGATGTTTTCAGTTGGCATTCCGAACGTATCATCACATTGCCGTGACCGGTCGCTTTGACTCTATATACATTGGTGAAATAATACAAGATCTGAGCGAGAGTGAGTCAAGGTACTGTGCCGAAATTTAAATCCGCTCATCCTATCCTGTTAATCCGCTCATCTCAATCAGCGCTCTTGCTCCCATCAAAATTTAAGAGGTCAAAAAGCAAATGAGTTTTCCCAAGATATGAAGGATGTCGATAATGAACCGGCCTTGAGTCCTTTTAACTGAAGTGATATTTGTTACCTTCTCAATAGTGCCACTCAAGGAACTGGTGAATATGGCGTAACATGACGTGCAGCCCTGCGTGACCTTAGACAGAAAGGCCAGTGGCGGTACTGACTAAAAGGGCCTAAGAAACTATCAAGATTAGCGATGGGTTATCCTATCCTTTTAATCGCGGGTAAACAAATTGGAACCCAGTGCGCTTCAGCATAGGAAATAAAGCTAGATTACTGTTGGGATCTATGGCGAAGGTTTGGATAGAGAACAAAAAAACTATCTCCATAACTCAAAAACGTGTGTCCGCTTCATAACAGTTGCGACCACATGTTTCAACGAATGCACAACTGGAGAATCTGAATTCTATTGTTAGTTGAAAAGTTGAAGATTTCTATTCTGTTTAGGTGAAAGCTCAAAATATGATCAAACAACAATCACCTCGGGATCAACCTCACTCTTTTTCAGCTCAAGGCTGCCGACCTCTTGAAAGCACGGCATCGATTCTTCAGTTGTGCTTTTAGTTATGGTTTATATATTGCTGATAGATATTGCTTTTTGCTGAAATAATGTTAATACAAAAATTGATTGGAAGTGACGCGTACTTTTAGGACACCCTTTAGTGTTTTTTTTAATGTGAAGAAAAGCAGTGCAAAGGAGGCACAAATCGAATTTGTATTTTGTTTTGGTTTTATCTCTTATATTTATGTATTTGTGTGTACGTATGTATTTTTGTTTTTTTTTATAACTATAAGGAGAGCATTGAGGTCATTTTTATAACTATAAGGAGAGCATTGAGGTCACATCATTTTCAGCCAGCTTTCCGGAAGCTTCCTCATGCCCATAGTCATTATGCAGATCTGTTTTAGGGACCCCATAATTGTTTCGAGCAGTCTTCTTCGACAGGGTTTATGGCGAAAGTCCATTGTCTGCTCATAGGATTCTCGACTTGCTCAGGGTTAGTTGTCACAATTTCTAACGTTTCCATCTACTCTACTTTGCTATTTTCAGGAGTGGACAGGAGTTTCTCAAATTCTGACTCGCAACATGTATCAGAACCGTCGCAATGATGTAATACTTATTACGAGTGTTGGCACTGCAACTGCGCGTCAACGTCTGGCTCGCCTTTTGCTGCTTCCCATCGACCAGCTGCGACGTGCCATTCGTGACGAGATTATGCCGTATTCTGTACGTGATGAAACGCTTTGAATGTGTTTCCCAAGCATTGTATCCAGTTTGAAGCTCAATTTTACCTCATTGGTGACAGGAGGAATCTATCACATTGTCTTAGTCTGATGAGAATGTCTCGCACAAGAATGTTAAATCTACAGAACAGGATTTGGTTTTAAGTATCTTCTCTGTTTGCACCACTCATAGTGCTCAACTTGTCAGAACCTCATCTATAATAGAATAAACGATTCGTTTATGTGGTCTGTTTGACTGTGATGCAGTATGGTGTGAAACCTTCGCAGAAGCGGCTATCAGCACTTCCAATAGGTTGTAGTGGTTTTCCCTTTCTTACCAACCCAGGATAAGGAATCGCCTCTACCCTTGCACAGGTTTGACGTGGCCAGTTGTTCACCCATTAGCAGCCAGCATAGTAAGTCTTTTCCCAGTATCTCTCCTTCACAGGTGGGCGGGGGAGGGGGAGGAATAGGCAAGAAAAGTCACTTTCCCTCCACTTCAGAACAAAATTAGTACACTTTCTTAAAATCAAACCGAATACTACCGGCTGGTCATTGAAAAGCACATTCCAATCCATTAAAAATTCTACAACAGCCTTTTACACCGAAGAAGAATCTTCAGAATTTTCCACGGGAACATGTTGCGCGTTGGAGCTCAATGACCCTCAACGGATAGTAGATCATTAAGACGATATCTTCAAAACTGAACGGAGGGGATCTTGCATATTGAGAGCTACAGTCTGTGGAAAATTATCCATCGGTTTTCGATTGAAGAATTATGTAGCAGCTTCAGGCTGGAGCGATTACGGTAGGCCTCCTTGAGCTCGACGGTGATGACAGATGACGTCATATTCTGAAGACGGTGAGGGCAGTGAAGGAGGGCCTGCTTCTGCTTATGGGGGACACTAAGGAATATTTTGCCGTGAAACTTTCATCAACTGCGGCAGCCTGTGCGATGAAAAGATTGCTGATGTGAGCCGGCGAAGTAAAGCCTTTCTTGGCCACCTCCTGTAGATGGTTTTATGATGTACAATGTATGAGACAATTTACGAATATGAAATGCTCAAATATTGGGTTGGTAACTGTGAAATGTCGCTTCCATTCGTGGCTTTGTTTCTCAGCTGAAACACAACCTCGTAATATGGGAGACCATTCGAGAGAGCGATTCAGTGCGCATATTGCGAAATCTTAGGCGTCAGTGAGCGGATGTTCTTCGAGCCAAAACTTTTGCTCGAAGATGATTGGT